CCTCAGTCTGATTTTTTTTTTTCAAAGGGTTTAGAAGGATGATAATTTAATGTGGCACTGATATTTTCACTATCTTATTGATATACAGTAGCGGTCTTTTTACAGAAAAATTGAAACATTATGAAGTTATTCCTTTTCATCCCTCAATTACATAATGTAGACCTAAGAAACACAATACTATCAGAAATGAGAAACAAGACAATAGTTATGAAGCAAATTATGATTTTGAAACTGTATTTCAATAATGTTTTAAGAAACCACAGGATGGGATTCTGGTATAGTAAAATACAAGATTGATTAATGGAATGAACTGTGTTTAGTAATACTTTACTTGAATGAGACTAAAAACCACCATCTTAACTCCTTCATACATAATATCATACCATAAACATGATATAATGTATAAATTCCTGTACAGCCATTTGTATAAATGAGATGACAGATTACAGATCTTTATAGCAAGAGTTTCAACCAAAAGCTTAGATTGGAACTCCAGGTAAAGAAAATTACAGTGATAATGATGGAAGACACAATTAAGGATGTGATAGCTGACAAGGTGTCCTGAACTGTCCTGTAAGTTTATGTTAAATTTAATTGTCTATGTGATTACATGCATGTTGTTTTATCATTTAAGTTCATTTCCTTTCCTTTATTTCAGAGTTTAGCCTAAGAATGTTCTGTTTTATTCATTAATATCAGATAGACACCTATAAAAGACAAGACATGGGGAAGGGTTTTGTAAGAGCTAGACTACCAATAATTTGTGTTAAAGTGCCAATATAAAGAGAAACTAAATTCCCAAGCAAATATTCAGATCTGATTTATATCCTACACACTCCTATGAACAAAAATGTCCATAAAAAAATAAGGAATCTTTTTTTAGTGATTAAAAAAAAACAATTCAATTTGGTATTATTAATATATTCAAAGTGGTGTAGGGAGTAACAAGTGAAAAATAAAAAAACAAAAGAACAGAGGTCTTCACTCAGGTCTTGAGGTGAGACAAGGCCAAAGCCTGAGCTAAACACTATCTGTATCTATTAATTACCTGAGGTGTTGGAGCAGTCTGCAGCTCATGAGCTGACAAAGCATGACACAACCAGGTTTTGCTCTATGATGAGTGGTCCTTCTGTCAACCACAGAACAGGGTCAGTGCCTGGCACTGCCGGAACGGTACTGTCGGAACCGGGTACATTGTCAATCTGGACAAGTCCAGAGGTATAATTTTTCAGAAAAAAGGCAGATCTAAGGCAAACAGATACTCCTTCATACTGAATAAGAGAACACTGGTATACACACGCTGCTGCAGATACCTTGGTGTAAAAATCAGTTCCTCAGGGAGTTTTGACCTTAAGAGAGAAGTATGCAGAGCTCTCTACACCATAAAATGGAGGCTCTAAAATATCCACCCCATATTCAATTCTGTTTCTGAATATTTGGAAATGTAATCCAACCCATTCCACACTATACGTCAGTGAAGTGTAGGGTACAATCATAGACTATAGTTACCCAAAATGGGACAAAAAATCAATAAAAGTTCTGATTGCATGCTCAACTTAGTCTATAAACTTTAAAGTTTATGTTAAGTATCCTGAGAAGCAGAGTTATTTCACTTATACTATATACTGTAACCAGACTAACTCAATAAAACCTATGGGGGCAGTGCCTTCTACGTTTTGATACTGTAAATTGTGATTTTATCTAATGTATCAAGATGATGAAATTAATATCCTGAAATCAATATAATGTCTTGCCAAGGTTATAAGTAAAAAAAAAATTAAACTAACAACCAAAATGTCCATCTGGATTACAATCCTGCAGACTCCCTGTAAAGGTAACAAGCAAATGGTCTTTAGTTGTTCTAACTGTGTTATCCATCATGACATATGCTCACTACAGGATGCAGTCTGTTATGAAGGATAGGGTTTCCCATCCAAAAATTAAAATTAAATGCACCCTACAAAAGACATTCCAGGAAAGAATTTAAAATCTAAAAGGCTTCAAAGAACTTGGATATGTGGATACAGCTTTATCTTAAAACATTATATGAACTCTGCAAATATTTCAGATAATAAAATGCCAAATTCTGATTTTTTTTGTTTGCCCATGTATTTAAAACAGTTCTAAAGAAAGCAGCACAATCACAAAACTGCAGTCATATTTAGTGAGAATTTGTGTATTTTTACTCTTTACAGAGAATGATGCTGAAGGTATTGTAACATGTCCCCAGAATATATAACACACAAAAAAGCAACAATTCTGAGATATGTTATATTGTAAGTGCCAAAGTAATATGAAGGAATTACCATTAGCAAACAGTTGGAGAATCTCCAAGGAAGAGTACGAGAGGGATGGAAATGCAAGGATAATAGCACACGTGAAAATTACTTTGCTAGTTGAAACAATTATCATTACTGAAGACATTGTTTGAATGAAAACTTCAGTAATATGAATTGTTTTGTGAATTAAAATGCTTTGTAAGGCTAAATAATCCTAAACAGGTTAACTTTCTCTTATTTTAATTGGTTACATACAGTATACAGAACAAAAATCCCCCAGAGTCCTTAGCTGTGCTTCTCTCCAAACCAGCACAGTGTGAGATCTCTGAGAAGAGACAGGGCATGGCTAGTTCAGGTCCCATTAGTGCACAATTCCCAGTTTTAGCTGTGAAGCCACAGGGAATGCCATTTAGTTTGATGGAGAGCTCTTTCATATCAAAACATTTAACCTTCACATGTTACTTTGAGTTAAACATTTTAATGTTTGTTTTTTCAAGGTTAATTGGTAGTAACTGTAAGTATGAGTAAGATTTCTTCTACCATCAAAATGCCAGGTTGTTCTTTTTTTCTTTTGTGTTCATGGAAAGGTAAACTGAAGTAAGGCTGAAAGGAAACCCAGAGAGGGCAACTGAACCGACTGTTTACATGCATGTTATTTCACAGACCTTTATGTTACAGTCACTTGGAAACACTATTCCATAACATTCAGGCTTCACATTGAATTTTCCTTCTTATACTGGATATAGCATTTCTGAGAGCACATTTAATTTTAATTTATAAACAGCACAACAAAGGATACCCACTTGTTGTATAACAACTCTGAGCAGTTTTATCAATTTAACTGATTTAATAATAGAAGATACTGTAGAAGTAATGCAGTACCATTGTGCTCAGCAAAACAATGAAGCATGTTCAAATCAGTCTTCACAATGCCTTAGGATGACAGCCTCATGTTCACTTAATCTAGGCCAACTTGTGATGTTTGGTTAACATGGAAGCAAAATAGTTTAAAACAAACAAACAAACAAACAAACAAACAAACAAACAAACAAACAAACAAACAAACAACCATAAACAATTTAAAACAAACAACCATAAACAACTTAAGTGTTATGCTGAAGTTTTAAAACGCCCTACCAATGGCAAAATTCAGAGAAAAGCAACTAATTTTTCACTCATGAAACTAAACTGAACATGCATTCGACTTCTTCACCTGAACCTTTTTTTGCTTAGGTTTTTTTTTCTTTCATGGGTAACAATCATACCATACACTCTATAGTGTATCAAGATATTTTGTGATTTGAAAGACTTATAATGTAAGAAGATATTTCAATTATGTTCACTTGGATATTTCAATGAATTTCCAGTTAGCCATAAATAGTTATGAAGTGAAAGTAATTCTATCAAAATTCGATTTAACAGCCCTTGTAAAATATAAAATGAGTTAAATTCTTGCAAGAGGTAAAAAAAGGTCTCCACTGATGGAAACATTGGAATTGGCAGAACATCCCTGTTTTCAAGAGTCAGTTGAAAGAAAGCAAGTGTTTTTCTTTCAAGTATTGCTTTGAATGAGTATAGTGTATACCGTAAATATCACTGATATACCACAACTGTGCATTTGGACAAGGCATATAACAAAAGATGGGGAAATGAAACTGGATGCTGTACTCATTGAAAGACCACATAAGAGGTCAGGACATTTATTGATGCCTTCCTTCAAGTTGTGGAAATGTTTGACCTTTATTTTCAAAAACATGCCTCTTCTACAACAGATGCTGCATTAACCATCACCATTTTCTGCTTTGGCGAGAAAGCACTTGTCCAGGAAATTACCATCATATCACCCATTACTTACTTTTAATTGCAAATTAGTAGTTCTAACTCATTGTGAGACTTAATTGACAAGGTGATCAAAATTTCTTCTGTTCATCAGCTCCCAATCACTGTCCAGTTTGTGAATTGTTAAAGTTATAATTGAGATAAGATGGTTCAGACAGGAGAATATGCCTCTGTTGCAACATCTGGCTTTTCACAGACATAGAAAATGATGATTGAATGGGATATATTTTATTTTCTGTGGAAAACTACATGGTGCGTACTGTAAATGAACAGAATGTGTCAAGGAAAGCAGACAATCTCTCTTTGCAAAAATGTAAGACAATTTAGCCAAAAAGTGCACTTGCTCATTGATGAACGATGCAGCATGGCTGAATGAGCTTCAGACTTAATTTACACAATTCTTCCAGGAGAGCACAGGATCTCTGTTCTATTTTTACCTTGTCTTTTCTGTCAGGAAAATAAAAAGTTAGGGGTGGTTAATATCACTAAATCACCAGCAATTGGACTGCATTGCTCTGGTGATGTTGCCAAATAATACGTTCTAAGCACCTTATGACAGTCTTCAAGCTGAGAATTCTATTCAGGTCAGAGCAGTTGGTGCAAGGCCTTTGTCAACCCTTATATACAAATAAAGGAGCAGGCAATGATGCAAATCTGGAGGACCAGTTCTTGTGCTGTGTGCAATAAACTAACCTCTACATTTCAGCCCCTCAAATAAAGCAGTTTTCACATTGACACAAATTTCAAGCACTTTTAACTATTGTGGCATTTTTATATCCTACCTGCTCTAAATCAAACTTTTCTAATTGTTGCAAATGTTTCAAAGCACATGGCAGTGCACGTATAGGATTAAAAAAATGCTGTCCAGAGTGTGAGCAATACCTTGGGAAGTTTTGTGCACGGTTCCTTTCTTTTCATTCCCACAGCAGAGAAGGTCCCTGCTTACAATCTGTTCCCCACAGCACTGCTTGTGAAAGCCATCATGGAGGGTTTCTGCACAGCAGATCTGGCTGCCTGTTGAGTCATAGGGTTTCCCACCACAGCAAAAGTTCCCCATCCCAATGGAAACACGGACTTGGTCTTCATCAGGACAGCACACCTCCCCTGGAAGAAAATGACATGACTGTATATACTATATACTCATTCGAATTGAAATATAACATGATTTTGATTTTGATTTAGCTTTTAGGGTCTTTTTGGCAGAATTACCAACTTTAAAACCATTTGCATCAATTAACTTGAATATGCCTCTCTACAAATATACAGCATTTACATACACTAAAATAAAACATGTAAGAGAATAAGCTCTGAAATACCTTATTAATGTCTGAATTAAGTGACAAAAGATATAGTATTTCAGTATCAATCAACATGATGTTTAAATTGTGCACTAAATTTTTAAAACCACTGTTTTTTAAGTGGGATTCTAAAATTATTTTTTTCTACAAATCTGTAATTTAAACACTGCACATTAGATTTTAATAAACTTTATATTTTAACATAACAGCATATTTAATCCTTAATGACACATGCTACTGATAATAAGACCATTTCATTAATTTAGGCAATACTTTTATCCAAGGTTACTCACTGTAAGTGAGTGAGTCAAAGGAAGCAATGAACTATAAAATACTGTATCAGCAGTGCAAAATGCACAAAAACATGCACAAAATGCACAAAAACAGTAACTTATGTTACTTCAAGGGCCACTATTTGGGCATTATAGACATGTTAATTGAATTTGTCAGCATCTTTGAAGAATGAGTAATAGGTTTATTCCATGCTGAAAAAAAGAAGAAAGAGAACACAACGTTTCGGAAGTGGAGCCTTCTTCAGGTGACGCCGAAACGTTGTGTTCTCTTTCTTCTTTTTTTCAGCATGGAATAAACCTATTACTTGTTCCTTTGCAGCCTACGCATGCTGACGCAGCTACCCACCTGAACTATCTTTGAAGAATGTCATTGTACGCCTTCTTCATTTACTTTAACTAGCATAATCTAGGCAAATCTTTAAAATCCACTTCAAATGTGTTTAAACATTTCACATTGCCCTGTGCTACAGAAGGATAATTCACTGAGCACAGACAAACCATCTGCTAATTCACCATGACCTAATTTTATGAAGTACTTTATACTTTTTTTAACCGTGACAATTTGTTGCATTGCAATTTATTGTAAACTCATCATATTTAGTTTTTAACCATATAAGTAATCTCAGTTCCTTTGCTGATCACTTAACAATTACTAATGACTTGAAGAAAATAACAACAGGTGAGGATCCCCAGAGGTTACATGGTCAAGGAAAATGCCTGACTCTTGTTGTAACTATTCCAGATTCAGTTTAGACTCACTTTACCTGGTAAAACCTTAACATAATATCTTCCACAGCACTGATAGTGAGGTTGGGGCGTAAACAGATGACCACCACAGCACACTGTTGAGAAACTGTTTGCAGCTGGGATGTATTTGTCTTTGCAACACTGATAGCCAGCTTTACTGTTGTATACAACTCCACTGCAGCAGACCTGAAGAAAGATGGACAGTTTTGTGTAAATTGAGTTACAGCAAAAAATGTGAAGTTGGCATGTCTTTTTTTACAAAACCTCCATTTGGATTAATGATGGGGAGAACAGCACAATCCACAAGCATCCTCTGAAACAGTCATCCTCCTTTCTTTCTTTTTGCCCAAGAGGCCAATGAATTCAGCACTGTTGTTCAAATAAGGCAAAATAAACTGAAAAAAAGATAGATAATGGTAACCATTTACTCTGTGCAAAACCACTAACTTCCTAGTTCTGGACATCTTTTTTGGTAGAGATCCTGAGACCTAAAGTTCATTGGAGTTTTGGAGATCTAGTGTACAAAGTTATTCTGATGCATCTGAAAGGTCTGCATCAAGAACCTTCTGTTGCCAGGATTCGATCAAACACTTTCAGGTTACCACACTGTTCAAAAAGATCATTTATACTCCTAATGGCAAAATAAGAAAGCATGAAAATATTTATTGGGGCTCTCAGATGATTCTGCAACATCAATATTGATTGTTTTTAGGGACCAATACAACAGCAATAGTAACCATTATAAGAGTATGGACTGTCTAGACCATAGTAGTCAGATTAAACCAGCAGTGTAAAACTGGACAAAGAAAAAAATATATAAACCACATTGAACACATTATTAAATTATTTAAGCCCTCCCACCAAAATTGAAAACAAAATGTGCATATTCCTTATGATATGTTGATGACATAATGGAAATTTACAGAATGTTAATTCAACAAATCAACAAGGTAAGAAACAAATGTGCTTTCCCATAAGTGCTGCTTCTGTGTCTACTGTACCTCCTTAAACATATCCATTTTTTATGGTTTTATATTACAATGGAAAACATGTCCTTCTATAAAGTCATGTGCTTTGCCTTTGTCTCCCTCATGTATTATTGTCAGAACTGGATACAGGGGACATTGTGGTCCGTTCACAACTGCCAAGTTGGCTTACATTCAATAACATTAGGATTGCAGCAATTGTGGTAGACAAGTTAATCTGTTTACCGAGTATAACTGTGGACTGCATTACATGCATAAATAACACCAGTCAAAATTTGCATGCTTCTCTTATGCACTGGTGAGGTATATTTTTTGACTGTTTCTTTCATAAATCTGATCTGATTTCTGATGCTGATTTCTGATGCCACAAATCACTTTGTTAGATGTGTGCCTTTCAGAAATTTGGCTGTGATCAAAGAACATAAGTATTGAATACAAAGCCTCTTTCATGGAACTTTAGAGATAAAGTCCTTTTGCTCAATGTTTTAAGTAACGGGAATTCAGAGACAAATACAGATATAGTAATAAGCTAGCCCTGGCTCTGCACAGCTCCAATCCAGACAGTTTTAGACGTTTTTGTTAATCATTAATGATGATGCTGATTGTTTGAAACAAATGTTTCTGATGTTGAGGTATACAGAAACTAAGTAACAAAGAGTGTGATAGTTAACTAAGGAGAACCTGAAAATGTGAAGAGGAAGTGGAATGCAAGGAAGTGAGAGAGGCTAATTGTGGTGTCTATAGGTTTTTGGGAAGGGATGTCATGAAGGATTTTGGGTTAGAATAACAGAACTGAAGGAGAACTTGGTTTCTGTCATCCTTCCCAACCTTAATTAAAAACTCTAACTTATTAGCATGTCTTTTATTAGCATGAAAGGACAGAACCACATTTTATTATGTCAGTGGGAACATAATGTCCTGATAAAAATAGGCACTATAATTTAAGGAAACTAGCTCATGTTTTGCCATCTGCTGGAAAATTTGTAAAGCACAAGTGTGAGGATTTACTGTATACTAAGCTTCCGTTACCTGTGTCAGTGAGGTTGTCAGAATGAACTGCACTTGGCAAAGCAGATTACTGAATACTGTATGTGTTATGTATGGTATTATTACAGTATCATCCTTTAAGCAGATACCTTAGCTTCATCTATGATTTAATGTTTGCAGCAGAATCATATTGGAAGTATTTTGGTTTTCTGTTTTATTTTTGCTTATGTGATGCCATGGGGAATGACCATCACTTTAGGGCATGAAACCAGCATGTCCACATTGCCTGACACACCACTGAGAGCCTGTTGGGGAACTTTTTTCTCTCTATTTCTCCAAACATACACCCACTCTACTCCATGAGCGGTGTTGTTATATGGTCTCCTCACTGGTGCATAACCATATACCATTCATGTTAAGTTCTCGGAGCCCTTGGCTCACAGACACTCAGGCTCAGAGACTCCTGCTCATTCAATATGTACCTCTGTTCTTTTGATGACCTCTGAGATCATGAACTGGTTCACTCACATCACTGAGCCCTTCACTTGCTGATGCCTGGGCTCAATGAACCTTATCTCAGGTTCTCTGTCTTTTATGCTTGTCCCTTTCGGGAAAAGCAGTGGAAGTCCCTCAATTTGATTGCTCCCATTTGGCCAGACCCTCTCTACCACCTCCTTTACCTTACCAGTAGGCCAACAGGGTGTAGTGGCGAGGCTTAATAATAATGCAGAAATAAGTGTTTCTGAGCTTCCCAAATGAGGCCCCATTTCTCTGTTCATCTCTGCGGTACAGCCACAGAGAAACCATTCATGCAAGATGTTTTCTTTTGATAAGGACAGCTCCCAAAGGGGGATGCACTTAGCTAAGCCTGGCTATCATGATCAATGGTCATCCAT